AGTCCTGATTTGACTTCAAACATCATCTTGGACTTCCTTCTGACCTCAGTTTAAAGTAAAAAACTAAGCACCAGGCAGACAACTTATTTTTAAAAGGGTTTTGGTCTGTACTTTCACATTCAGGTGATGGCAACTCTTCCTAAGCAGCTTGTCAGGAAACTGGCAAAGAATAAAACATTACCAGGCTTTATTTAGTCAGTGCTTTGAGGGGTTTTAATTTCACTGCAGAGATTGAAATGGACATAAAGGACAGATAAAAGGCAAGGCAAAAGGATTCAAATCTTTTCTGAACAGAGACCTAGAACGGCTTTGCTCCTTATTAAGTGGTGTAATTGGAAAACTGGGAAGGCACAGTGGGAACAATTCTTCAATCTACTGAAAAAGCTGGAAGCAATTCGTATTTTCTTTCCAAGTATCCCTGTTTAGTCTGTGATGGCTTTCACAGTCACAAACACAGCAGAGCCAATCACTTTCTCTTGTCTGCAAAAAAAAAAAAATGTTGCAAAATAAAGTTACATACTCAGAACCACTGAAAACAAGCGGGAGCTGCGTGCACCAGGAACCCCGGTATGAAAACCCCTTTTGCTGCCTGTCACAGGAAAGCAAACAAGGCCACAAGGTGGATTTGTGATTCATTTGTCACAGGACAGCACCACAGCAGCATTCCAGAGCCAGACACGAGGACAAACCCAGCAGCAGCTTCCTCTTGGGAGCAGCCCAAGGTGCCTCAGCCCAGCACACATCACTCTTTCCCAACAGGCTGGAAATCCCTCCTGCAGGCACAAACCAACACTGTGGCTGCAAAATATCTCCACCTCTCCTTTCTCCAGCACCACCGCAGCCTTTTATTGGATTTCACTGTTCCAAAGCACTGAAGATCCATTCTCCAGGCTGGCCATGCAGGAGCTCCACCTGTCTGTGCTCTGCTGAGCTCAGCTCACACAGGGTGCCAGGACCAACCCTCCATGTCCACATCCAAAAATAAACACTCCATGGCTCTATTTTATGCCAAAAAGACACCTTTTAGCCTACTGAAATAAAAGGTAATTTGATATAAGGAGAAAACAGATGGGAAGAGGCAGCCACATCGGCTGAGCTTTTAACTCCTTATTTATCAATGCAGCCATGGCAGAGCTGAGAGGAAAATCTCCTGTTTTCTAGGGAAGTGAGCACTGTCTGCACGTGCAGATGGTGCACAGGGATGGTCTGAGAGTGCCGTGCCACAACTCCAACCCAAAGGCAGCAGCTGGATGCAGGTCATGGCCCGTGCAGGAAATTCAGATAGAAACTCCCACAGATATTGAAAGGTTTGATTTGCAGCCTTGCAAGAAGCTTGGATTGGTGTAAAAATAAAAGAACACAGACATGAAGCAGAAAATTATAAACTTATGCTTCTATAGCTGTAAGTAAGAATATACCAACTTTCTACTAGATTAGAATGTTATATATTGCCTGGTAACTAAGAAACTTGTCACTGCTTTAGAGCTATGGCTGACTGCTTGCTCTTTTGAATCTCAAAGCCTTTGAGGCTGTTTATTTTAGTAATAAATCATTTTTAGCCCAACTGTGGTCCCTTCAATCCTTTCAATTAACACAGGGATAATAATTGGTATCTCCAAGATAACAGGCCAGGGACTGGGTGTGCTCCAGCCAAGCCAGCCCTGGCTCCCAGTGAGCCAGAGGCAACAGAACCCACACAGCTCCATCCTAATTCTGGAAACAAGAACACAAAACCCATGGAGAAACTGTTTATGGTGGATGCAAACAGCCTCTGACACATTTGTAAATGTTATATACACTCACACAGCCAAGTATCAGCTGAGAAGTTTGCCTGTGTTTTTTTCTAGCTCTAAAGATTTTATCATTTTTGGGTAACAACCAGGAAACACCAGGCACTGGGTCCAAAATCTGAACAGCCTGAGGAGATACTTGATGGGATTTAGAAATGTGGAGAGCCCTGAGCAGCTCAAAGATCAGCTCAAGGGCAGCTAAATGGGGAAACACTCACAGACAGCACGTGGCACTACAGGAATACCTAAGGACTTACTAATATTGAGATAAAAAGCACATTTTCTGAATATTAATCACAACACAGCAGCAGAGATGTTTAGTTTAGACACTACAACTGCTCCTAGCATGTAAAATACACTGGGTCACACCACCACTCAACCTACTGAAACAAAAACTGTGCTGGAAGGGTGGAACTCCCTTCCAAAACCCTCCCTTCCCAGTGATGCCACCTGGAGATTAGAAACATTGCACAGGGGTCTCCATTCCTTTATCCTTCACTCCATTTTCCAGTTCTAGCACATCTTTCAAAAATGGTTATGGCTATTCAGAGTTCTTCATTCTGCAGGCAGCAATTTTTCCCCCAAGTTACTGCATTTCTCTTTTTAACACTAATTTCATCTGCTGTTTGCTGCCTGGTCAACCAAACTTGGCAAGATCTTGCTCCATTTTTCAGTCATTGTCCATTTGCTTATACTGAATGATTCTTCACCTTCAATTGGCCACCTCTCTCTCCAGCTCCTTCCCCATTTGTGATAAATCATTCTGCTAAATAAATGATTTATCAGACAAATCATTTATCTAAATAAATAAAATAATTTTTTTTCTGTACTTTATACAGTATGGTTCCCTCAGGAATTTCAGGAGGAGAAGGAGAAATCAGGACCCTGCCAGCAAATCCCATTCCAGATTACAAACTGCTGTTCCTATTATATTTATTTATATATTTAAGCAGTTTCATCCTTCAATTTACATTAGAGCTCCTGGATGAAAGAGCTGGAGTCCGGTGATGCATTATCCTTGATTTTCCTGAAGATTTTCCCTCTCTGTGTCCTAACATCTCCAGTAGCCACTCCAATTTTGGGACCTCTGCCTTGCTCCAGAGAATGACCCCATTCCCAGGACACCTGGGTGTGTTCCCAGGGAGTTTTGCTCATGGCCAACAGTGCAGGAGGCCTGAATTTACAGCTCTTCATTAAAAACAAACTTTTGTTTACCACACAAAGAGATTCAATTGCTATAAATATCTGAGAGATGCAGAAAAATAAACCCTGAGTGTTGTCCTTTCCTTCCACAGTAATTTGGCTGGATGAAAGCACTCAGGCTTTCAGTAAACCACAATTATTTATATCAAAGAATAAGCTGTAAGGCTTTTTCTGTATGAAAAATAAAAAAGTTCAGCTTGAGAAAGGCTTGGGAAAAAAATTACCAAGGCTATTTGATCATTTTCAAAACTTATTTCAAACACTCTTTTTGTTTGTTTTGTTGTGAACCTATTCAATTCCCTTCTGGAATTGCTCTCAAGTATGAGCATTAAGTGATGACAGCCAACCATGCATGTAAGTGTGGAATAATCTTATGTAAGCATCAATTAATAATTTTATCTGCACCAGCACAAGGAAATTCTTTACAAGCGTTTCCATGTAGTAAACATTTAGTCAGCACAAATATTCACATTTTACTAACAGAAAAGCACACACAGAGGGAAAAGCAGGAGAATTCCTTTGGTGCTTTTATTTTCTACCTCACTTACCTGCTTTGCATATCAGTATTTCCCCACCAAAAATGCAAAGGTGTGCTGATAATACAAGGATTTGTTATAATTCTATGCTATTTCTCCAATAAAGCAATTCAAAATGCAAATGACAGACTTCTAAGTCACCCTGCCTAGGAATAATTTGTAAAGAGCAATTTCAAGTAAAGTTTGAAAATGTCAACACGTGAAATGCAAGCAGATAAAGTGCGAAGGAGATGATTTTACTTATTTGTAAAGTGATTTATTTGTAACTCTCAAATTCAAAGACACAGGAACAGTGTACATTTAATTAATTCTAGGGTGATATTTAAGAAAAAACAACTGTGAGCAATCAGATTTGAACTTTTTAAAGTGTGTCATTTCCTCTGAGTTCAAGGAGCTACTCCTGCCCTGACCTGGCAAAGAGCCACAGGTGGGAACAAGAATGCTGTCTGCTGTTCCTTAAAATCCATAGTTTGGGAACCAAGGTATTTAATAACTCTAGCTCATTAATCACACCATAAAGATCTGTTCTGATCAGACACGAAATAAAAAGGATTATGGGATATGGTACTAAAGAAGTAAAAAAATCTCCGGTTTCCTTACAAGAGGGAAAGACAGGGCTCAGCTTGACAAACCTGACTCCTTTATCCAAGTGAATTTTTCAGTCAGGTTTCTTTTATTCCTTTATCCAAGTGAGTTTTTTCCAACTGAGTTCTTCAGAAATGCAGTGAATTAAAAAATGTAGTGATTGCTCAGTTTTGGGGCCTGAAAGCTGGTTCCAAGTTTTCTGGATACCACTGCAGGCTCTCCCTTCCCTGTCACTTGTGGCAGCTCACTGGAAAAGCCAACCCAGGACTTTGGACTTTCCAGATTTACCCAGTTCCCAGTTGTGATAATTCACTTGTGGGGAATTTTGGAAGGAATTCCAAACAGGACCTCTGAGCTGTTTTTGATGATGGGGTTTATTTTCTTATTCTTATCTTCTACACAGGCAGGAAGGGTGAGTTCAGCTCACATCTCCACTGCATGGCTCAGAAGGTCCCATGACCCTCAGTTACAAGACTTTTTAAGGAGTTATTGATTAATAAAACACTGCTAAAAAGGATATTTATCTTTTTGACCCAATCATTAAATACTTCATCTTATGAACCCATGCTACAGTGCAAACTTTCTTAGCCCATCATGTTATGACACACAAACCTACAGTGCTGTACTCTGAACTCCGTGTTTACCTCTTTTATTTTTTTCTGCATCTTAAACTACTTTTATTTTTTTCTATATCTTAAACTCTAAAACTCTAAACTTTCCTTTACTTAGCTCAACGTGTCTCTGCTTTAAACTACAAATCCACATTCTCACGAAGTTTGGGAGCCTTTTCCTGTGTTTAATTCTTGGCTTACAGGCCCAAAGTTCTGAGAATTCCCTGCATTTTGGATTCCAAGACCCTGTGGCAGGCAGGAATCAGCTTCCTTACCTTCATGATGTTCACCAGGTCTGTTTGATAGTAGCGATCCTGGTGGGCATTGGCAGCTGCTAAAGTGAGGAGATAATCATTCCTGGCGTGGATAGCCTTGGAATTGCACTCGGATCGTCGGGCTTTTAACTGCAACAAGGGAAAAGACAGCTCACAAAGGGAAATCGAATGACCAAGCATTCATGAACAGCAAATTAATTGTGTGTATATTGTGTTAATACAGTGAAAACTTAAGGGCATTGGCAGCTTTTAAGTCTTCCTAGTGATGAGGGGATTCCTGATGGATATTTGTCTCCTGCAACTGGAATTTCGCATGTGGTCTTCAAAGAACATTTTTAACTCTAATTAGATAAATAATCCCTTGCATATATTCCATACATAATTCTATACTCTGCCCAGAGAATGCTCTTAGCTCATCCTTTGTCCCACCAATTCCCTTCCAAGCTGTCCCTCACCTCTACATTCCAGACAATTTGGGGCATTTGCCTCAAGAAATGAGCAGCAAAATCCAAGTTTTATACTCACCTTCACACTTGCCTTCTGCAAGCTTATTCTTGACTGAAAAAGACTAAGTTTGGACCTGGAACAGAAATGAGCAGAAGAAACTGAATAATTGCTTTACACTATTTCTACAAAAGTGTTTTTTCATTGTCTAAAGGATGGTGGTTTAAAAAAGTAAATAAGAAAACAAAATCAAGTCAATAGCTATTTTAGTCTGAATAACACTGCAGGATAAATCTGCTCCAAAACCCCCAAGCTCAAATTTTCTGGCTGTTATTGTTTGTTTATGCATGATTGTTTATTTTCTTCAGGTATTATAGGTGATTTTATTAAAGTTCTTTTCACCATCCCTCAGAAACACAGAAAAGATCTTTAAGGAAACTATAATTTCATTCCCTGAGAGCAATTCTGAATAACTTCTAAAAACAAAAATTAAAGGAAAAAAAAAGCAAAAGAAGGGGTGTGGTGAACTCCCCTAAGACAGGCCAGACTCCAAACCCAAAACGTGTTACTGGTTTTCCTGGAAGGAAGGAAATCACCCTCTTTAGGATGTCAAGGAACAGAAAAAACCTAAAGCCTCCAAAATTTATCTTGATAAATGAAAAATGTCCTGCTGCTCTTCCCTCTAAATGGAGTGATCCAAAATTTGAGATGTGTGGATAGAAAAGGAAGTCAGGAGGCTTTAATATCAAAAAACTGCCAGCTGACACACAGTCCACAGAAAATGCCAGATTAAAGCTGTTACTTGAACTTCCTTCCTAAACAAACCAACACAAACAAGTTCTAATTTCCTCTCAGGGTGTGCTTGAAATAGCTACAAAAATGTATAGGAGCAAAATGCAAAGAAAACCTGGCAGAATCTCGTTGAAAGCCAAATATCAAGTGCAAAACCTAATAGAAATGTGCTTTTTTGGGGCTGCAATTATTCCTACATATGCCATTATAAAAACATACTTGGCCTCAATATCAGCTTTCTCCCGCACCGCCTGAGCCATCTGTTCAGTCTCAAAATATTTCTTTTTGCCTTTAGCTAAATCTTTGACTGTCTCCTGTAGTTCAGCTTGGATCCTTGTCAGCTGGTCCACACACTGAAAAAAAGCATTCAGGAAAGAAAATATTACTTTTTTTTTTTGCATCCATTATTAAATAATATTATCATCATCGTTTTGCTGGTTTTTATGGTATTTTATAGGGAAGGATGCAGGCTTCAAGTCACTCCAGGTCAATTATTCATGCAGGTCTTTTGAAAATGATCAGAACACAAAACCTTCTCTCTTCCTTTCTTTCTGCTGCTGTTTGAAGTGTTAGGATAACCCACAAATTAAACAGAAAAGTTCTGAAAGCTCTGGATGCAGTAATTAGTTGAAGTCATTGGAATACAACTGGGAAAAATCCAAAGGCAATCTACTGGAAGTGATACCAAAAAATGATTAATCTTTCCTTCTTTAAAATTTAAAACATCAGGCAAAAGCTGCCACATAAAACACAACACAACAGGAAGAAAAATTATTATATTCAGCAATTCTTCAGACACCCTGCCAGTTTAAGAAAAACCCCAACAAAGTGGGAAAGGATCCGTGCTAAGCAGGATCTTGGTAAGAAAACCAATGTGAATCATCAGTGTCTAGAATTAAAACTCTCTTTAGAAGAGATTACTAAAGATTTTCTTTCACCCAAACTGGATTAAGCATGCAGGAGATGGATAGTCCAGGGGATTTTATTTAATCACAGACATCACAGGCTGGATGTGGTCAGTGCAGGCTCCAGCAGCACCCATGGGTGAGTTCAAGGAATTCAATTTGCCTTTGAGTCCTTCAAACACCACCCCAAAAGTCCCAGCTCTTTTCATATCATCACCACCCCCCTGGCTGCCCTCATTCCAGGTGCTGAACACCCCTGCAAAACACCTCAGTCTCTTCATTACACTAATTATTAATGCATAATTAACGGGACCTCCTTTGGGAGCACTGCAGGACTGACGGGGTGCTGGGGTCCAACAATCCAACATTGACTTCCCCCGGTTCCACTGCTAAAAAATAACACCCAGCCACCTGGAAAAAACAAAGTGGCAGCCAACAGGAATTGCTGGTCTTCTCACCACACAGTCCTGCTCTCCCTGGAGCTGTCAAACTGCTATAGAGCACAGAAAAATTCCCACTAAAGACACTGTTTGATGTGTGCAGACCAATAAAGCAAAGGGCTCCAGAGGGTGCATTCCCTAAAGGCTGCTTTGGGGAGTGGTGGAAGGCAGAATTTGGATTTTTGGAGACCTCTGTGTGCATCAGTGAAAAATGAAAGGTAAAATAATCTGTATGTAACGGATGGCTGACAAAGAGCTAAAAGCCCGTGAAAAGAACCAGGGTTTTGCAACATCAGCAGGGATTTTGATCCCCAAAATCTCCTGCCAGCATCAAAAAAATTAAAATATCAAATAACCCCAGTTGTTAAAAGGATCGTTTGAGAAGAGTTAAATAATCTTGCTTTGCATCCCTGTAGGATAAAAAACTGTCAGGAGACTAGATGCCACTTTAGATGGGTATTCCCATGTAACCTTAAAAGTATTTTGCTGACTGAATTTTAATTTTGATAAGCTTTTGTCTGAATGGGGGTCAGAACAATTATTTCTCTGTCCATTATTTATCTGTTTGGGAATTCAAAGGGAAGGGTGAGAGGCTGCACTGTGTAAAACAATAGACTGGTTGTGTAGGAAAATTAATCCTGCCAAGTGGATGATAATTCCATGTTGTAGGAAAAGCACACTGCTAGAATGCCCTGAACCAGAATACTGCCCTGATAATGGTAATAATTTGTTCTGCCGATTCAGAAGGGCAGGAGTAAAGGAACCTCTATGACTTTTAAAAATGTAAAGATCCCACTCTGCTGCTGACTCATAAACACAGAATTATCACCACTTGCAGAAGAATAAAGAACAATTATTTAGCAGTAAGTGCCATAAAACTGCCACAGCCTTGTTTGGAAAGCTTCACATGAAAATGAAATTCCACAGGACAGTAAAACAGCATTAATAAAGTTAATTTTTCCCTCACAAATCAGATATTGCACGTGTTTCTAAGAGTAGAATAATTTGTTCTGAAACTGAGAGCTGACATCACAGAAGCATCTATTTGAATTTGTAACCAAGTCTTTTACAAAATACTCCTCTAGAACACAGAACTGGGCACGTTCTGGGTCTTTGTGGTCACTTTGTGACAAGGACAGATAAAATCTCTTGTTGTTTGGGTTTTTATTTTTTAATTAACAGGACACCTCCCACTATCCCAGGCTGCTCCAAGCCCCATCCAACCTGGCCTTGGACACTTCCAGGGATGGAACAGCCACAGCTTCTCTGGGCACCCTGTGCCAGGGCCTGCCCACCCTCATAAATGACTTTCAAACACAACGAGCAATTAAATGAATATCCAGCTCACTGGAACTACACTATTTTCTCTGCAGGGACAATTACAGATAATTAAAGAGATAATTAAAGCAGCTTTTGGAGCACTTACTTGTGATAGTGCTACAGGAGGTGGCTGGACAGTCTCCACTCTCCATCCTGGAGATTGCTCAAGCCATTCCTTCACGTTTCAGATGGATCTTTTCTCAAAATCAGAACTTTTTCTAACAAAACCCACTTGCAATTGTCACTGCAAACCCAATGCAAGGCAATTTCTACAGCACAGTGTGAGATTTGCTGAGATACATTTGACCAACTGGTGCAGTATTTTTAGGAGACTCATTTCCAAGCAGTTATAATTTGGGATATCAGCTCAGAATTTTGATCCCACACCAACAAGCTGGATAAGATGAAGAGTACTATAAGATGAATCTTACATCTGTAAGATGAAGAGTACTCACATATTCTCGAAGTGCCACAATAAAAGATTTCTAAAAATCTATTTTTTTCCTCAATAAAATGACAATAGTTTAAAGGATTTCTTAAAGCACAAATACCTTCTTCAGCTGCTGCTCCTTAAAGCACCGGACACTCCTGGCTGGTTCAGAAATTAGGTTTTTATAGTTCTCACAGATATTGAGTCGGGACTGGGCCACCTGCATGGTGCCTTCTAAGAGTGATTTCCAAACTGAGTACATGCTCCTAAAATAATGAAACACAGAGAGGATGTGGGAAGGAAGAAAGGGAGGTCAGGTGTTCCACTGAAAATGTGGATTTGTGGAATCTCCTGAACTGGAAGGATCCTCCACAAGATCAGAATCCAGCTCCTGGGCTGTTTTATGTGACAGCAACACACATTTTTCCAAGGACTGCTTTTAAAACTAAATCTAAAGCAAATCTTTAGCAAATATCTCCACTTCTAACACAACCTTTAATGGAAGTTGTACCACAAATAAAGCTTTTCCCGCCTGTTTCTCTCTTGTGATCCAACTTGTTACCAAACAGTTTGGGTTCAGCACTTGGGGATGGGTAGGGAGGGGTTTGGAGAAGATCTCTGGCACTGTGGGATCTCATGGGTGTTATGGGAGTGTTTTATGTACACTTGAGACTGATAATTCAGTTTATTTCTTTCTAAACACACAGCCAATGTGAGGGTGCTGAAAGTCCCGAACACAAATCTGTCAATTTCTTCCTGCTTGAAATAAAACTTGTCAGAACACAAGGAGGACATTAAAATGAAGCATCTGAAAGCTCATTCCAAATATTTAAGAGGTGCTGTTCAAAGGCTTTCAGCAACTGATTTATTTCTGGTTTCAGGTTTTATCCACCTTTCATGTTAATGAAATAAAGTTTTGTAAACAACTGTCTCCTGTTTGCCTCCTCCCTGCTGTCAGATCTGATCTTCACAAAGAACAGCCTCGTAAAATGAGATCTCTTCCTGTCTTTTCCTGTGAAACAATCCACACACTTATCCCTCTTGCCTTAAAGTTATTTACTAAAATCTATATTCAGATACAGACATTAATACCCAAAGAGATGCAAATTACAGTTGTGGTCCTGTCAGGCTGTTTTGTTTCTTCCATCTTCCTAAATATTCAAGTCATAAACATCTATTTAAGACTAATCTCAGGAAAACAAAGCTTCTCTTTTAACTGGCAATGCTCTACTACAAAGGAAAAAGAAAAATTAGCTACAGAAAAGCAGTGATTCATTGTTAACTAAAATAATGACACAAACTGAAATGATAAATACAGCAATTTTGAGATATCCAACTGCTAAATTACCTATAATCACTTCGTTCCTCAGCTCTTATTCCAAGCCAGTCCTTCTTTAAGTATTGGCTAGCCAGCTTCTGAATGCTCTGTTAAAAAAAGGGGGAAAAATAGTTAAAAAAAAAGGCAATTAAAACACCATTTCTGCTCTTACATCAGACAAATGAAAACCCAAAGAAGCAAACAACCTCCAGCTCAGCAAAAGTACAAATTCCCACACAGAGAGGTGGGAATGTTGGAAGGGAAAGGGCTGAACTTGTGCCAGCTGTGAAAACCCCAATTTGTATCAGGACAGGGGGCTCCCAGCATCCAGGAAACATCTGGATCATCACTTATGAGCCCACCCCGACATGCCCAGCTCGGATCATCCAAGGCTGCAGGAGCTCTGCTGCTCCCAGGAGGAGCCCATTACTCAGACAAGAGACTGACAAACGCAGCTCATCTTTAATTATTAATGTTAATTGCACCCTTCAGTCCCCACGTTTCGTTTTGCACGGCCTCAGGAAATCAATAACAACATTTTCATACTCAAGGTCAGAAAGCAGCAGGGTTTCATTTATAACCACACAGGAAGGGCAGCTGCTGCCACACTGACCCCTCCTCTGGCTGCTGATCCCATTTTCCTCAATACACCCATATATATCCCATTTCCCTCAATATATCCATATATATCCCATTTTCCTCAAGATATATCCCAATTCCTCAATATATCAATAAATATCCCATCTTCCTCAATATATAAATATATATTCTATTTTCCTCAATATATCAATATATATTTAATTGTCCTCAGTATATCCATATAGATCCCATTTTTTTCAATATATATCCCAATTTCCTCAATATATCAATATACATCTCATTTTCCTCAGTACCAATATATATCCCATTTTCCTCAATATCTTAATATATATCCCATTTTTCCTCAATATATCAATATATATCCCATTTTCTTCCATATATATCCCAATTTCCTCAATATATCAATATACATCTCATTTTCCTCAATACATCCATATATATCCAATTTTCCTCAACAGATCAATATATATCCCATTTTCCTCAATATATATCCCATCTTCCTCAATATATCAATATATCAATATATATCCCATTTTCCTCGATATATCAATACATATCCCATTTTCCTCAATATATCAATATATACAATTTTCCTCAATATATCAATATGTATTTCATTTTCCTCAATATGTCAATACATATCCCAATTTCCTCAATATGTCAATATACATCCCAATTTCCTCAATATGTCAATATACATCCCATTTTCCTCAATATGTCAATACATATCCCAATTTCCTCAATATGTCAATATACATCCCAATTTCCTCAATATGTCAATATACATCCCAATTTCCTCAATATGTCAATACATATCCCATTTTCCTCAATACATCAATGCATATCCCATTTTGGGGACATGGGTTGGTGGTGGAACAACAGCTGGACTCGCAGTCCTTGAAGACTCTTTGCAACCTAAACCATCACCACAAAAACACCTCCAGCTTTTGCATGTTAGTCTACACAGCAAAGAAGTGCAGACCTGGGTGAAAATTCCCTCTCCAGCTAAGAATCAACACCCCAGGAGTATTTTGGAGGAGCAGTCCTGAGGAAGAGCCTGGGGTGAGACATCTTTGCCCAGTGTCATTTACTGACACTTTCCATACCATGTTTAAGATGCAACAACCTTTGAATGACCCCTAGAAAAAAATATCAGAAGTAGCTCAAACAGCACAAGATTTTATTAATGTCTCACAGCCCACACAGTGGTAGAAATTTATCACCAAGCTATGATTTGATCAATGTGTTCACACAGAAAAATTAAATGTTGCTAATAGATCACTAGTAGCACAGTCATGCTCCCTCATATTTAAAAAAAAAAAAAAAAAGCAAATTCCATTAGGTAGCTGTTAAAAAAATCTCAGATAAAAGGAAAAATAGCATTTCCTTTAACCCTGGCAGAGCGATTTGTGATGGGATTTGGAGCTTTATGAGATGCCTCCACCTGGTGCTAATTCCATGTTTCCACCCTTTCTTCTTCAGATTCCACTACCAGATCTGCCTCAAGATGCTGAACAAACATTCAGAAACAGGAAAAAAAGCTCTCTGGCAGCTGAGGACAATCTCTGCCCAAATTAAGATGTAACAAAAGTCACAAGAGGGATAAATAAAGCTATTTTTGCCCAAAGAAATCCTATCACTGATGTCAGCAAATAAACCATAAACCCAGCGGGATTAACTATTTATTTCCAAACTGAACAAGCTCAGCAAAAGAACCACTCAAAAAAAAATGAAGATAATAGGGAGGATAAAATAATCATGGAATATCCTGAGCTGGAAGGGACCCACAGGATCACAAAATCCAACTCCTGGCCCTGCACAGTCCAACAATCCCACCCTGAGTGTTGTCCAAACACTCCTGGAGCTCTGGCATCCATGAAAAAATCAGCACAATTCCACATACACTCGGATTTGTATTTCCCAGGGCTGCAGCTCCTATTTGATGTTTTCCATCACCAGACCTCACACCTCAAGTCTATTTATTGATATTATCTAATAAAGCCAGTTGTGGCAGATATGGGGGAGGAAAAAAATTTAAAAATATTTGCTTAATACTTACAAAAAGGGATCACCATTAGAAAAGGAAAGAGGGAGATGACCCAAATTAAAAGATCATTGTTAGAAGTTTTTTTTAAAAGTCATATTAACGATACCTTCCAAGGCAGTTGTAAGGGTTTTATCTGTAATAATAACTGAAGGTGCTGATGACAGCAGGTGCCCAAAAAATCTATTATTGATAGCAGAAAGCATGACAGACACAGCTGATGTAACACTGAGTTTTGGGACTATCAGACAGGCAAATTCAGGGCTGCTTTTCATTTAGGTGGTTTCGGTATCTTGCATCATTTTGATCTCTTCTCTTTGTCACCCTGACATGATTATTTCGTTTTTTCATTATTTTGTTTGCTAAGTCCTCTTCTGTCAGGCAAACACTCCACAACAGAGAGGCTTCAGTATCTCTCTTTACTTTGCTTCTTCTCTGGGAAAAGCAAGGTTACTCCCAATTAAACTGACTTCATGGAAGTGTGGAAGCCACTTTTAGTAATCAACAGCTGCAAATTAACACTCTCTATCAGCAGCTAGAAAATGTCACAGTTTTATTATGTATTAATTCTTTTTATCAGACCCACCCATTGCTTATGTGCAAAAGAGCTTTGCTGTATTTTATTTTTAAATGGGAAAAAAAGCATTGAGAATGTTGTATTTTGTCATTCTTGTGAGGTGCAGGCACTGTGGAAAATTCTGTTTTATTTCAGTACTGCTGGTTCTTCCAAAATAAATTTGACAGCTACACCAAGACTCTCCTGCCACTGTGAAAACAGCCTTTGACTGGTATTTTCAAACCCATATTTGAGCAAGACTATGGGCCATTCTCTGATGATTCTTGTGGGTCCCTTCCAGCTCAGAATATTCTGTGACACGAATGAAGCAACGTGTGAGGACTGGCTGAGGATGAAGGGGAATTGTCACACACAGAGACTCCTCCAAAAAAATAAAGGGCAAAAAACCCCCACACAACCAAAATGCAGAATGTCTGCACTTTGAAGAATGCTCCTACTACACAAACGAAGAAACGAGGTGTATCCAAACCAAGAAATTTCAGGACTTCCCCGGTGCCCTCAGCTTTTCTTCTCAAGCCAGCGAGATCTGACCCCACTTCAGCGAGCTCAGGGAGCCTGACTCACTCAAACACAGCTACCTGGGGCCAAAAATTCAGGAGGGAGCTTTGTCAATCACGCAGATGTTTGCCTCACAAGCTTCAGGAGCAACATGGAAGAGATTTTGCACCTTTACCAATCTCTTGGAAACATTTGGACAGGGAGAAGGGAGCAGAAAATGCAAAACAGCTTGTGAGGTGAGAACTCTGGTTCTTGAATCCAGCAGAACCATTCAGTACTAAAGTCTGGGACAGGATTATTTCAAATGACCTTTTATTTACCAGAGCTAGATAAAATATTTCAATGAGAATGAAGGGACTCAGGCAGGGATTCCAGGCAGGGATTCCAGGCGGGATGTGACGTGGCTCCACTGGCATCACAAGCTCTGCCAGACACAATTCCTGGGCTGGGAGCTCACACAGGGCCTTAGGCAGCAGCTCCACGGCCAAATGAAAATGAAAACAATGCCTGGAACAGGCAGCACATGGGCTTCTCCAGTGCATCCCGACCCTTCCCAAAGGTGCCCTGACTGGTGGTCTGCACTGCCTTTAACGTGGTTAATGAGAGGTAAAAGAGGTTCCCCTGTGCCTGCAGCATCAATTGCAAAATTCCCTGGAAATGTTAGGAAAGGCTGGTTATTTAAGGTAAGCTGCATCCCTAACCATGCTGCTTCTCCTTCCTCAAGATGGGATTTTCCTTCCCACTATCAGATGACTCCAAGAAAATATCGAGTTTCATTCATTCATTTATTCACTCATTCATAATTTTGTTCCAAGCTGCTTCATTTCTCTTTTTATTTTCAGATATCTGAAGCATGACAAGAAAGCAAAGAAAACAAAGTGGGAAGCTAAAAAATTCATGTACAGCAGTTAAATATCACCTCAGGCACTCCTGCAATCAGGTTTAGCAAAGGAAACGTCAAAGCTCTTCTCATCCACTTTGTTCATTTGTTAAAACTGTTGCTTCATTTGCAGCATCTTAATTCTCTCCAAAACAACCTGAATGAGATATAATTTAACTTTTCCTCTCTCAGCCCTCCTTTTAGAAAAAAAAACCAAAAAAACCCTGGCACTAAGTTTGTCCCTTTTTTCCAAAGGTTTCACAGTTTTCAAAAACAACACCCACAGGGCTAAGACAGGAAATGATCAGAGAATAAATCCACTGCAGCCAAGCTGACTACACCTAGAGCCAATTCAGATTTATTCATCAAAATGTCCTCTAACCTATTATATTCCTGACCTTTCATCAGGCCAGGATCCACACCTAACCTAGGGATTCATATTCTGTACTACTTGGCACAAAACCAGTGTTGGAAGTTTCTTTCTCTGTCTCATTATAAATGAGTCTCC